ATTTTGTTTAAATAAATAAAATAATAAGTTGTTTGCGTGTGAAAATTTTTATTATATTCATAGTGACGCTAATTTTGGTATTAGTTGAAATATTATATTTTTATATCCAACAAAAGAATAATACTTCTGTGATATTTTTGAAGTATGATTCAAATTCACCATTATTATTTAATAAATGTTCTTAATCTATTGCTTTATTAATAATAATATATTCATCATGATTATTATGGTTTTTATCATTTATAGTATATAATAAATATATAAATTATTAAAAAATATAAATTAAATTATTTTTTTTTTATACGCACGTTGTCACATAATATTTGATATACATTTACTTTTCTATTTTTATTACTACTTTCGATACTATAATTATCATCTTCCATTTCAATTTCAATATCACTTTCAATACTATCATTATCATCTTTTTTAGTCTTAATTTCAGTATTAGTACCTTTAATACTTTCATTACTGTCTTCTTTTATCTCAATTTATTATCATTACCTTTGATGTTAATATCATTATCTTCTTCTGTTGTTTCATTAGTATTATTACTTCTGATGCTAATAACATCATCTTTTTCTATTTTAATTTCATTATTAATACCTTTGATACTTTTATTATCTCCTTTGTCTGCTTTGATTTTATTAATACCTCCAATGTTAACATCATTATCAGAATATATTATATCTTTATTTTTGATAATATCACTATTATTCTTTCTTCGTTACTATTATTATCATGTAATATAAGCTGAGATGGTGAAATATTTAGTAGAATTACATCAAGATTATTAAATGTTTTTTAAAAATTATATAAAAAAATAAATAAATTTAAATTACAATCTTATAATTACTTACTTTTGTATTTTCATTTTTGAAGAGATATATTTTTAATAGCTAATGAAAATTTCTTAAATGAATTTGAAGATAAATATTTTTGTCAAATATAAAATGATCTTTTGTATAATATATTATTTCTATTACTGAAGCATTTTGACAATAAAATTGCTAAACAAAGTTTTTTTTTAAAAAAATTTTATTTATAATATTTAAACATAATATTAAGATAAAATATTAAACAAAAGATAATAAATCAACATCATTATAATTTATTTAATTATTTTATCTTATTATCTGATTATTAAATTAACTTAATTTATCAAAACTATACTATATAAATATTAAAGTTAATTAAATTACTGTAACTTAAATTAAACTAATCAAATTAAACTATTAATTAATTTAAAAGTCAATCAAAGAGTTAAAATTATTTTTTATTTATAATTAAAAAGTTGACTAGTTCTTAATAAAATTAAATATACAACATCATCGTTTAATAATATTAAAAAAAGAAGTTCAATAATCTTTATTCAAAGAAGACTTGTAATACTCCTAATAAAAAAATACACTTTTCAAAGTATTAACTTCTAGAGTAGCAGTTAAAGTAACTAATAAAATAGCAAATTCTAAAGCAGCTAGTACTTCTACAACAGTTATTAAAAAAAATAAAGACAAAAATAGCTTCAAAAGCAAAAATAATAACTATAAAAGTAGCAGGTTTAAAAAAAATAAATTTACGAAAGAAAGTAAAGGAAGCAGCTAAAATAGTAGCAAATTTTACTTTAAAGAATATAAATCATGTTGATAGTCACAGCAATAAAGTAAAAATTAATCATTATGATGAATTTAATGAAGAAATTGGTAATAATGAAGATGATGACTCTAATTATGAATATGATAATGATAATGAAAAAGATGATAATGGTGATTTTCTTGATTCATCAAAAAAAATTCAAATTTACATTTTAGGTCTTTTGTATATCAAAGAAAATATATTATGTAATAAAAATTCCTTTATAATATATTTATTTTATTTTATTTTATTTAT